TAGTACACTGTGGTGTAGCACCCTTGTTTGGAGGAGATTCCTCCAATTACAATGTCAAAACATCTCATGATTACCTATCAAAAGCTGATTTCTTGTTATTTGCAGGTACCCTGATTTCTTCCTACATGTGGGAAAGAAAGATTTAGAAATTAAAGCTATTCTGCAGAGCCAAAGATTTCTGTGGTTTTATGGGAGAAATTATCTGACTATACACCTAGGCAGTACAAATTTGAGCTAATTTGATCCATGCTTTTGTTGCTGATCTGCAGTCCTTTCGTTCCTATCTTGCAAACTTGTGTAATATGTGTTGCTCTCACCTGTTGTTCCTCTGAGCATTTTAATACACTGCATAAGACCTATAACCTTCCTCATTAAGTATATATTGAACAACAACAAAAAATCAATCCAGTTGCTGCTGATTTAGAGACCTATGATCTCTCGTGCAGAGGGGTAGAAATGCACTCCATAAGGTTTCCAGCACTAGAAAGTAGATTTCCAAATTTTTCTTTTGCGATCTCTTTAGGTGGACTTGAACCTCAACCGTTTTTGTTTAACTCTTTTGCATCAATTATGGATTCCCTTTCCTCATTAGCATTGTTACTCATGTCTTGTGAGAATTGAAGCCATGTATTTGCAAGTTCCCGCATAACTTTGTTTTTGGAGACATAGTGGAGTTAGACTAGATTTCTTATATCCTGGAAATTTCAAAATTATTTTTGATACATTTTCCCTTGAGGTAGCTTGCATTGTCCTTCACCACCCCAGAGTTGAAGACATTTTTCTCTCTCTATCCATTGCTGTTGTTGCTTCTGTTTCTAAAGGAAAAAATGACTTAAAAAAAAAAGATTTTATTGGAGGCTCTTACAGTGCTTATAACAATCCATACCTCAATTGTATCAAGCATATTTGTACATATGTTGTCATCATCATTTTCTAAACATTCACTTTCTATTTGAGCCCTTTGTATCAGCTCCTCTTCCCCCCTCCTTCCTCCACCCTTCCACCCCAGTGAACTCTTGATAAGTTATAAATTATTATTTTCATATCTTACACTGACCACTGTCTCCCTTCAGCCAACGTTTCTGTTGTTCGTCCCCCTGGGCAGGGGTTATATATCGATCAATGTGATCGATTCCCCCTTCTCCCTCCAACTTACCCCTATCCTCCTGCTATCGCTACTCCTATTTCTGTTCCTGATGGGTTTATCTGACCTGGATTCCATGTGTACTGAGCTCTTACCTGTACCCATGTGCATGCTCCCTTCTAGCCAGAACTGAAAGGCAGGATTGGGGTCATGATAGTGGGGGATGAGGAAGACTCAAAGAACCAGAGGAATATTGAGTTTCATCGGTGCTACACTGCACCCTGGATGACTCATCCTTTCCTTGTGACATCTTTCATTCATCCTTTCCTTGTGACATCTTCTTTTTAAGACTAATCATACTTCTTAGGCTTTTAAACTTATATTCTGCCATTGACTTTAGAACTTTGCTTAAGCAAACATCCCTTTTAGGTTTTTTAGTAGCAGTTGTAATAACACCACTTTCATAAAAATGCTAGGTTTAAAATAATTATACTCTAATTATTCATATATTCTAATTATAGTCTAATTATATCAATTCATTTGAAAATAAGTATATGTTACTGTTAGGTGCTATTGAATTGGTACCAACTCATAGCAATCCTATGTACCACAAAATGAAACTTGCCTGGTTTCATATCATTCCTACACCATCCTCAGAATTGTTCTTGTGTTTGTGCCCATTGTTGTAGCCAATGTGTCAGTCCATATTGTCAAGTGCCTTCCTCTTTCTTGTTGCCCCTTTTTCTTTACCTAGCATGATATCTTTCTCTGGGGACTGGTCTCTCCTGATAACATGTCCTAAGTACATGAGATGTACCATCCTTGCCTCTAAGGAGCAGTCTGGTTGTGCTTCTTTCAAGACAAATTTGCTTGTTCTGTTGGCAGTCTGTGGTACTTTCAAAGTTCTTTGCCAGCACAATAATTCATATGCATTGATTCTTCTTCAGTCTTACTTATTAGTGCCCAACTTTCACATGCACATGAGGCAATTGGGAATACCTTGATTTGGGTCAAACTCACATTAATACTCAAAGTAACATCCTTGATTTTCAACACTTTAAAGAAGTCTTGTGCAACAGATTTGCAATGCATTGTTTGATTTCTTGACTACTGTTCTGTGAATATTGATCGTGTATCCAAATAAGACAATATCCTTGACAACTTAAATCTTTTCTCCATTTTTTCACCATGTTATTTACTGATCCAGTTGTGAGGATCTTTATGTAGAATCGTAATCTATGTTGAAGGCTGCAATCCTTGATCTTCATCAGTAAGTGCTTCAAGTCCCCAATTTCAGTAAGCAAGGTTGTGTCATCTGTATATTGCAGGTGATTATTAGGCCTTCCTCTAATTCTGATGCCACATTCTTCTTCATATAATCTAGTTTGTCATTATTTGCTTAGTGTACAGATTGAATAAATAAGGTGAAAGCATACAATCCTGATGTACACCTTTCTTGATTTTAAACACAGATTGTAACTGCCTCTTGATTCATGTCCTAGTTCCTCAGGAGAACAATTACAGTGTTCTGGAAGTTGTATTCTCTGCAAAAGTATGTATAGTTTTCTTTATGGTGCCCATTACTCACTGCTGTAGAAACTTCCCCTGTGAGTTTCCGAAACTGTTAGTGTTTACAGAAGTAGAAAGTTCCACCTTTCACCAGCGGAGTGGCTGGTGGTTCCAAACTGCTGTCTCTGAGGATCACAGCTCACCGCGTCACCCTACATCACCAGCGCTTCTCATAGTCAACAAATAAACATCTTTCTGGTATTCTCTGCTTTCAGCAATGATATCCCTTGTTCCACATCCTTTTCTGAATCCAACTTGATAATTCTGACAGCTTCCTGCTACTATACTTCTTCTGCAACTGTTTTTGAGTGATCTTCAGCAACATTTTACTTGCATATGATATTAATGATATTGTTGTCTAATTTGAGCATTTTGTTAGGTCACCTTTCAATGACATGGGTACAAATAAGAATCTCATTCAGTCAATTGGCCAAGTAGCTGTCTTCCAAATTTCTTGGCATAAAATAGTCAGTGCTTCCAGTGCTTCATCAGCTTCTTGAAACATTTCAATTGGCATTCTATCAATTCCTCGAGCTAATATTTTCTGCGCATTAAATATATAAGATCACTTATTCATAGAGTTCCTAGGTAATGCAAGCTGTTAATTTGCTCAGCTTCTAATGGAGAGCTTGGCGGATTGAATCTTTTTAGAGGTACCTTTGAAGAAATAACAGGTGACCTATTTATAGAAAAAAAAAATCAACTATTGAAGACCCAGTGAAGTGCTGTTGTATTCATAGCATACAGACTAAACATGAGTTGGAGTTGATTCAGTGGCATTTGTATGTGGTTTTTTTTAAAAATTCATTGACTTTTATGTTTTGAGTATTAAAGGTGCTTCTGCATTGAAAGGAGACCTACTGGTGTAGTGGTTATGTGTTGGCCTGTTGAACACAAGGTCAACATTTCAAACCAGCTGCTAGGTGGGAAGAAGACAAGGCTTTCTACTCCTGTACATAGTTACAGGCTCGGAAACCCACAGGGCAGTTCTACCCCTACCTATTTGGTTCCTACAAGCTGAAAATGACTTGATGGCAGTGAGTTTTTGGTTTTGCTTTCCTTACGTAGAAAGAGCAAAGCGGGTGTAGTGGGTTAAACACTTGGCTGTGAACAGCAAGCTTGATAATTCAAATTCACTAGCTGCTTTCATAAAGCTTTGGTTTTAGGAATGCTAAATAAAGAACAGTTCTACTCTGCTTTAAAAAGTTGATATGAATTGGGGTCCACTCAGTGGCAGTGGGTTTGGGTTCATATATTATAGATTAAATCCAAAGAATTAGCTCTACTTCAGGATTTTGCTTAACCCCCAAGGACATTTATGGAATCCTTCTTGTCAGTTATGTACTGTGCTATTAAGAATGCTATTAAGAACAAAACAA